ATCTAAAACATGTTAAAACTTAGAACAAAAACAATTCTACTTCAAGTTTTTATTTAATCAGACACATCTGCAACATCTAGCCATGCAATGGAAATCCACAAAGACAAACATTGATTCTAGTAACATAAATGAACATCTCTGATTCAAACTGAAGAACGTCAACTCAAATAACCTTGTAATCTTAATGTCTGAAAAATCCAAAATGGTCATTGCTAGTTAATATATCTTAGATATGTCTTGAAGATACCTTTTCTCATTTCAAAGATTGGAAGCATTGCATTTCTTGAAGATAAATGTTGCTTTTTTACTCATGCACCCCAAGACCCAAATAAGGTGATATCTTGTAACAGTTTCCTTGTCACTTATTTCAGGCTGTTCCTCATTTTCCTGACAAGTCTATGTTGCATATACTCTATCATGGGTGTCAAATTTATGGTTCACAGGATAGTCATAAGTGGACTGCAGGGTGGCAATAAGAATCATTATCCTGTGATATTATGATTTTTGTGGAGAGAAAATGACATGTGAATAAAAGACTAAATTCTAAATCTAAATTTTGAAAATATTCTAAGTCCACAACTCAAAAGACTAAAAATTCTAAATCTAAATCTAAAACAATTCTAAGTAAGTCCACAACTCATCCTAAACCACAACCTAGACAAAAGCCTTTAAACTCTTGTCACAGAAAATGCATGTTTGTCCACCCGGAGTAATTTTCATACTTACCTCAGGCTTTGGCTGGAGGGAGAGTTGTTCTAGGGCTCGTACTTCATCAACTGGAGGACTTGTGTGCTGCATCGGCTCAAACATCAACCCACCCACTGCATCTTCACTTCCTTCCCGAATCTGGTGGAAAAATTTTAATTTGCACTTCATGTATCACATATAATAATGCAGTATCTATGTATGAACTAATATTCCTCCACTAGACAATAAAACACTTCTTTTCAAATGGAAGCTATGTTTCTCAGAGCTTTCATTATGAATGATGTATGGCACCTTTTTGTCAGACAATCTCATTACCTTGATGACTGAGTTCCCATCAATGTTTTGTTCAGCAAACCACTTTGCTACTTCCGTCAGTCTAAAGGCTCGGATGCAGTTGTACTCTTCTGGACTTGGCTTGGAGAGCCCTTCTCTATACCTAAAATAAATATACATATATATAAAAAATTTGATTGACCAATTAGATGATTAAAGAGAGCTATTACCGTTCCCTGTACAGTTACAGACATTTCTAGAGTGAGAAAAACATGTTCTTTAAAAGGGCTGGACAAGTCAAAGATCAACTGTGACTGTTCCCTTTTTCTATGAGAAACAATCTAAAAGACTGCCCAGAGTATTACATACTCTACATCTAAACTGTCTGACTGATTGCTATAAACGACTGTGAAGGGTAACAGGATGAGATGAATAAGGAAAGTGTTGGTATCTAAGACAATATCAGTATTGAAGTTGAATGAGTGGAGATACCAAAGGTAATTCAACCTGCTGCTCAATCCAAGCATGGGATCAGTTACTGGCTAAGACTTGGATCACAAAATGTCTTAAACTAGATTCAAGTCACTACTGGCCTAGAGAAACTTGCCTTTTTGTAGTCATGTTGCTTGGTCCCTTTCAATGTTTACAGACTCGGAAGGCCCTTTTTATTTAACCTTTAGTTCAAAGGATTACTTCCAATGCTTTAAGATCCTGGGGCTAATGTTCATTTAATAAATTCTTTGACACAATGAGCAATGAAGACAGATATATAATGAAAATACTTAGAGGCACAGAGGTCTGAGGGTTATACATAAAGACTGTGCAAATAGAAGTGCTAAATAGATAAAACTCAGAGTGTTTGTACAGTGGTAATGTGCTTAGCTAGGAACTAGCAGGGTTACTAAGGGAAGCAGGTTTGAGCCGTGTTATGATCTAACATTAGGAAGGGTATCCACTTTGGATAACAACCTTTGTATGCTTCATAAAAGTCTTGAATGAAGATACCAACCTAGCCTATGTCAGCAGAAGTGTTCATGACATACAACAAATCAACACTGATTAAGAATCTATAGTAAAACAGAAAGGGAAAAAATAACTAATATATGATTATCTGCCAAACAACAGACATGTAAATACTGGTGCAAAGAAAAACACAACCATCTTTGCGTGATAACATTCCCTAAGCTGACTCACTTATATTTACTGAGCATCTTCTGGAGTGGTTCAAAGCCTTGCAAGTCCCAGTCCTCTGCCAGCGGCACTTCTGAATCTGGAAAGCATTAAGCACATCAGTCTCCAAGCTCTGAACAAATACAAGGGGATAAGTTTGGAAGAAAAGATAATTGTATATCATTCAAGAGTAAAGGAAAGTGAGAAATAAATAGGACTTGCCTCCCTTGTGTCTGTCTACTTTTACATAAATAATAGGTTAGAAAAATAAATAAAAACAATTCACTCCTGTGTTAAGTGGAGTTCTTTAATTCATTATTCTTAATATTTCTGAAACTCTTACACCACAATGAAAAAAAAGCAAATAAATCTTTGCATTATCGATAGTCATGTTGTAGTTCATGAGCAAATGAATCTCTTATCTCACATATGGTTCCTCTGAGGTGTAGCTTATATAAATTCTAGGTAGGAGAATTTGGTAAAAAGAATTACTCTCCCTTTATCTCAATCCAGAAATTATATATTTTATTGAATTCATCTCTTTCCAAGTCTTCTTTTCTTGTATTTCCCTCCCTCAAAAAAGGATAAAGCATTACTATCACATTCAGCTTACATAAGCTTCCATTTGCCTATAATTCAAAAAGGCTACAGTATCCTCAACTCTGTGTGCTTATAATTTTTGTGCAAGCTTCCATTTGTATAAGCCAACAATTATAAGTAGCTACATTAGATTGTATTCTTTACAAATGCTACAATACATACATTAGCCTCAATATATAGATGTTTAGTTGGTACACAACATGGTTGTCTTACATTTACTGGCACTGAAGGAGGCTAGAGGTTGCTGAAGGTTGTTGACTAAGGTGCAGAGTCCTGGCCAGATCTGCTGCTTCCCCTTCATGGCCTCCGACATGAACACTCCTCCCTCGCACCTCACCCACTCGAACAAAAGACGGACTGCAATACCAAGTGTATTATGTAGGTAATTCATAAGACTAAAGGACTTAAGACTAGTCAGTGTTTAAATGTTACTGCTAGAATCAAAGAGTAAAGCAGAGGTTTGGAAGGCTCATTCGTAATATTTTTACCCTTTTCTACTGATTCTTACATCACTTTTTTTATGTTATTATTTTTTACAGTATTTTATGTTTCACCCATGTTTACGGAGTAATTTTGTTCTCTTGCAAACTGCATCAAATCTCAATGTCTATATGCACACAGGAAAAAAATGTAGGTAATCTGATTAAAATAAGCTAAAACTGAAAAATGTTAAGGTCAACTGTTAACACTATGAGTAATGATGGTGATGGTGCTGATAATGGTAGTGGAAATGATGATAATGAAGTTTATGGTGATAGTGATTATGATGATAATGACAGTAATGAAAAGTATTATAAAAAAAAGTATTGAAAAACGCAAAATAAATGATTCTAGAAAAAAAAAAAAAAAATCTGCTTATTCAGAGGCACATAAAAAGCATCAGTAATAATTTAACAATAACAATAAAATTATAAACATAATAATAATAATTATTATTATTATAATAATAATGATAATAATAAAAAAACAAAAAGACTTCATTGAATACTTACTTGCAGGAAGCGCTGGGTAAGTCATCAGCTGATCTGGGTCACGGATGGTGTGGACAGGCAAAAGAAGCGCAGCTAGGATTCCCACCGTCAGCTCTTCAACAACATGTAGACAACCTTCCAACCTAATTGTTTTAAGAAAAGGATGACGAATCAGTAATACAACATAAAAATAGACTGAGACAGACAAACAAAACTCTTGATTCTAAATCTATTAAATATTTCCTTACTTCACACAGAACTTCTGGTGGAAATTTTTCCATGAAACTGGCACTTCACAAGCATACAAATGACCAGCTGTCTTAGTGCCTTACCCTTTAATGACATGCTCGTGAGTATTCACATGTGGACACACAAACACGCATTCTCTTTCCCTTGCCTTAAAAAACGGTCTAGGATTCCATAAGATCTTTTTGTCAATTAACCCCTGAGATCCTGTTACTTTATGGCAATCACAAGGATCAAAATACAGGCTTATGCTTGTGTGAGCGGCCACTCTGTTGAGTACACGATTTGTGTTGGGTGACAAGACTCTATGCCTCCTCTCTGCACGTTATTTCATCATTTTATGTATTAGCACTTTCAGCTTTTTTGCCATTTTGTTAATTCCATGTTTATAATTTGAGTTGTTTTATCCAGATGGTAATAAACTGTTTTCCTTGCACAGACTCCATATCATCCCTCTAGGTAGTCCATAACTCAGTGCAATAAAAAGTGAAATATGTAATGCTTTGTTACTTGTCAGTTTTTATTTTATTTGTAGACTTCAATTTTCTGTAATACAACCTGCACTCATGGTGGCCAGGATACTGAGCATGAAAATGGCATCCTTCCTGGAGCTTTTGCTCTTTCAGTCAAGGCTCACAGACACTACATTTCACCCTCGTTTATCAATGGGTACAATGTAACTGCCCCCTTCTAAATGCCAAATGACACTAATCACCCTCCAAGACTTTGAGCACCCATGTTGAGTCTTTTCTGTGACCCTGGCATTCAGCTGAGACACTCATAATACCATGTTTACTTCACCCAGCCCTCAAACTAAATTTTTTTATAACATGATGGTCACTTCATCCTGATCAAAGGGGTTAACTGGTTACAGATGTTCTATCTCTCTCCCTCCATCAGAATTTGGTCTATCTTTTAAATACTGTCACATAAAATCCTTTCTCTTCTTCTCCCATACCTTTACCATCTGTTTTCTTTTTCCTATTCTACTTTATCATTTCAGAAATTCCTCATTTCAGTTTTGTTGATTAAGTGTTACCCTTAAATCATGATCTCCCATAAAGAAAAAGAGAGAGAAAAAGGGAAAGAGGAAGAGGTACATAAGCCAAAGATTTCTTACTCCTTCGGATCCTTGGGATTCTCCTGCTTCTCCTCATCCTTTCTGAGTCCTGCCTCATCGCTGGTCCTCACCTTCACATTCCCCGAGAAGTAATTCAGGGCAAACAGGTTCACTAAGACCATCTGCAATTAGGAAGACCATAATTTTATATGCATGTAATGTCCTTGATGGACAATTTGTAGGAAGAGCTATTGAGATTATCAAAATTAACTGCTACCGGAAATTGATCTGTTTTGGAATAACAAAAAGTAAAAACATGAGCAAAGGAGATAGGTTGAAAAAGATTAATTCACTGGATCTGGGTGACATGGATGTCATTGCATGAAAAAAAATAGCCAAGAGGCAAGTGACTAGGAATGTCCCATATGAAGCACCCTATTCCTGTGTAAACTAAACTATCTTGAGAGATAATATAGAGTCTGCTAAATGAAAGTAGTATATTCTCTTATCAATACAGCATAACAAGTAAAAATTATACACCATGGGAAATAGAAAAACAGTAAAATGATCAGAAAAGGGTCTAACATCATTATAATAAGGCAACCTAATGCCTGGATATTGGGCTGCATATGACAAAGCACCCAGATCCCAAATGTTAAATTTTTTCAGTTGCTCAAATCACATTTCATCACCTAACTTTAACCATATGCAAAGTAACATGATTATATAAGCACCAAAATATATTTGTACAAAATGTTACATCTTAAGACTTTATATAGAACCCTCCCCCACAAAAAATGTACCTCTACACATACGTATATCTATAACTATATATGAACACGTAAACATATACAAATAAAACTATAAATATTGAAAAAAGAAAAATGACAATAACCTGGATCAGACTAGTTCTTGTGAAAGCACTTGTAGCTACCAAGGTGGACAGGCCCGAGCAAAGAGTGGGGAGAGCCTTTCGTGCACTGTTCACATCACCATTGAGGTACAGTTGGGCATGGCACTGGAGGAACAGACTCGTGTACTCATCGCTTGTCACACGGCATGAACCGCTCAGGTCACGGCTGCTGGCAACAAAGGGGGAGTTAAGAAAAAACATGTCAGATTAATGTCATTCGCCTAAAAATATGGCTACAAAGAATGATGGGAGACATATTTGTAGGGATATCTACAACTGATTAATAGATGAAATAATGGATAAAATTCTTCTTCATCCTTCCTTAATAACTATATTAAGCTCTTCTGTATCTTATAATAATAACCTGTAAAGACATTCCCATTATGCTTTCAGATTTCTCAAAGCACTTAGAGGAGGCTTGCTGCACTACTTACATTATCTAAAAGATTTCACATGAATAATTTTGAAACTGGTTTTCAAAAATCTCAGTGAGAAATAATCAAAGTAAAGCTGAGCAAAATGATGATTGCTTCTAGTTTCTTAAGACTATCTTTGCCTTCTATCCTTTTTTCCTACACCTTTCATCATTTCTATTCACACACTTATCTGCATACACAAGTTATCACATATCAGTTCAATGAGCAAAAAATAAAAAATCATTTTGATTCAAGGGCTGAACTAAAACACTTTCGGCAAAGTAGAATTTAAAAAATACACAATTACAACACATCTGTGGTCTCATAGAGCAATATGGAGCTTCATTTAAGCCTAAACCCTATCAGAAAATGGAAAACCAAAGACTACAAAGCCAAAATCCATTAACTCAGTGTCTCAATCCTAAGGGGAGTAACAAAGGAACACAAGAAGTATGGGTAACATCACTGTGTGTTTAACACATTGGCGCCGGGTGTCACGTACGTACATGCCATGGCTGTTGTGGACCAAACGCCGGGGGCATCATGCCATGCCCATTCCCGCGCTACTGGCTCATCGGAAGGAGGTTGTTTTCCTCCACTAGTAGCAGCTTCATTTATATGGTAAGATTTTAGGCAATGGCACCTAAAGTGAAGGTAAACCTTCAAAATTTTAATATTTTATAAAATTATAGCAAAATAAAAGATTTTAGGTGCTATACGTCGCACGCAAACTACGATCGAGCCGGGTGCAAGCAGGGGAAATTGCCAGCGTGCGCCAACAAAGCCGGCGCATACGTAAACTTGACAAAAGTTTTTACCTGTCGCTGATGGGTTAATGGCTCAGTGGACAAGCCAAATGAGATCTCATCTATAGAATTTATAGGATGAGGTTACGTGTCATTTAACAAGCCAAATATCTGGGCAGTGGGTTATGTAAGTAACCAACATCCCAGGCATATGGCGTGTAGGTGGGCGCGTGCGAACACCCACAAGTGGTGACAAGACTCTGTGCTTCCCCTATGCAAAGTTATTTTGTGTAAACTTTTAAAGCTTTTTTGCCATTTTCCAATGTCCATATTTGTCTTTTGATTTGCTTTATCCAGATGGTAATAGCTTATTTTCCTTGCACAGACTCTATATCATCTCTCTATGTACTAAACAATTCAGTGCAAGAAAAAAAAAGTATGGAACATTTGGTCATTTGTGTCGTATATCTTTTTTTCTTATTTACAATTTTCCGTAATACAACCTGCACCCCTGGTCACAGCGGCCAGGAATACGGAAATGGCATCCTTCCTGGAGCTGGTGCTCTTCCAGTCACGACTTACTCACATTACATTCCACATTCATTTATTCATGGGAATAATGCTAAAGCCCCATTCTAAATGCCAAATGAGTCAAATCCCACACCAAAAGGTTTGTGCACTCATAGCGAGTCTTTTCTATCACCCTGGCCTTCACGTCACCTGGCCCTAAGCCATTTTGCCTGTTGATGGCATGTTAATGTCATCTGGCCCTCAACCCAGATTTTTCCATGACAGGATCGTAATGTCATCCGGATCGTAGGGGTTAATACTATCATTACAAAAATTGAGACAGGAGCTTCATCCAATCCTACAGCTATCATAAAAGGACCTAAGGACTGCAAAACCAATATTTACTCAAAGATAATCTTAAACCATTGGGAGAAAATAAAATGCACATCATATATCACGGATCAGTAAGTTGTATCATTTTATCATCAGCCATGTGTATAACTTACCTGCTGGCAAGCAATTTGGACAATGTCTGTGTAAGGTTGGCAGGTGCACCAGGAAAGGGACAAGGCACACACATGGCCCTGACGTAGAGAGCCACGGCAGCAAGACGGTTCCCTCTGCCAGCTTCTAATAAAGCCAGCTGATTATATGGGTGACCGCTTGTGGGAGCAACCACAACGGCATGTCTGTGGAATGAAACTTGCACTGAGTGAGGAATAATATAGTTATCTTGTCTTGATGTATAATGAGGGTACAAAATCAAAAGCAACAAAAATTATGAATTTTCAAACACAGTCTTAGTAGTAAATATGACCTTTGCAATCCTGCATTTCCTATTTCTTCCTTTTCTCTCTCTATTTTCTTTGGTATGCAAGAAATACTGAACCAAGAAACATTACCTATAATAAGTCTCAGCCTGCTTAGCTTGGTGCCGATACCTGGCCAAGTCCCCCAGGTGCACCAGGCAGTACTGGCACAAGTACAAGGCATTCTTGAGGCTGCTGCCTTTACACTTCTCTTGAGGGGAGCCACTAAGTTCGATAGAGCCATAGATACTGTCTTTCCTAAAAGAGAAAAAAAATATTCATAAATACACATGATAATCTAAGCTATATTTAAACTTTATATGAACATATCTCACATCAAAATAGGTGCGTTTCCTCAAACACTGACCTCCGGAAAGGCAAGTCCAGTCCATATTCTGTACATATTTGATTAAAAAGTTGCAAATAGAAGCCACTTGCAGAGTTGAGGAACCAACCTAGGAGATCTCGGGCTTCACTTGCTCCTCCCTGTGCCGGTGAAAAGTAAATGAAAAACTACTAATAAAAATTGTTTTGTTAATTCATGTGGCAAAACAAACAAACAAACCACACACTCACACACACACACACACACACACACTCTCTCTCTCTGTCTCTCTCTCTCTCTCTCTCTCTCTCTCTCTCTCCTCTCTCTCTCTCTCTCTCTCTCTCTCTCTCTCTCTCTCTCTCTCTCTCTCTCTCTCTCTCTCTCTCTCTCACACCACACACCACACACACACACACACACACACACACACACACACACACACACACACACACACACACACACACACACACACACACACATACACACACATACACACACCACATACACCACACACATACATACACACACACACACACACACACACCACACAACACACACACACACACACACACACACACACACACACACACACACACACACACACACACACACACACACACACACACACACACACACACACACACAGAGAGGCCTACCTGTTTGTCCTTAGCTTGAGCCTGTAGCTGAGTTATGGTGTTCCTGAAGCCAAGGTTCCAGAGATCACGCTCCACTCCATGGTCCAAGGCCGACTCAATCCAGTGTACGAGGAGTTGTCCACAAACCACCTGCAAAATGTCAAGTGTACAAATAATGTATCATTTCAGAAAATGAAGCAGGTGCTGCTATCAATTCGCCAAGATTTTATATCTACTCTTCAGTTTCAATCAATATATCAGTGTGTGCAAATAATACTTTATGTAATTTAGCTGTCAGAAATAAATTTTTTTTCTTTAAAGCCTTTCTGCAAAAATGATTAGCCCAAATAATTGCCATATGAACATGTTTCTTTCTGACTAAATAAATGGACATAAATCCCATGCCGCTAGTACCTGATCACTAACTTTTCACATCATGTAAAACATTTTCTGTTTAACTAATTTCAACTCTCAGAACTGGACTGTACAAAGATACAAAGAATAAACACTGCCTTATATAGGAATTTAAAAGGCCATGGTGCTATGCAATTTATCTGCACTGCTGAAGGATAACAGCACAATACTGGTACCCACAGAAGTCAAGCAGCCACCAAGCACTTTCAGTGTTCTAGCAAGTGCCAACAAAGCTACATCATGTGGCATAAACAGTTTATCTTAAATAAAGAATCAGTGAAATGTGGTGTTACCACATAACAAATAATGTTGCAGTCTTCTTGGTATTGGCTTAGGGGCATCTATGCATTTTTTTTTGCAAAAATCAACTTCTTTTTAAGAATATGAATATATTCATCAGATAAGCATATCTCCACACACTTGCAAACCTAACTATAATGGGTTATAACTAGTGAAAAAAAATGGAAAGCTGTATCGTCCTGCTGCCATACAGCTGAGATTGCAAATATCGCATCTACTCATGAAACTGAAATCACACTTGCAGACTTGCCAAACCGATATAACTATGGCTCTCATTCATACCTGCAGTTGGTGTTGGATAGCCCAGGCTTCATTATTGCCCACTAGCTGGGTACACCCATTGACACGACTCTTCAGACCCTCAGCCTCCCTGCAGAAAGTAAGAAAAATTTAGTTTGAAGTTGCACATCAAAGGAACTAAGAAGTATGGCTAGAGGTATTCATGCTAACTAATCATAATTCAGAATGTCTGTCATTACTGTAACTTCGATATCCAATTGAATTATAAATAAAAGGGCTTTACTGTATGGTTCTTTCTTTATTAGAAATATGATTAGTGACAAAAATGTTGTGACTAGGAAAAAGGGGAAAAGAAAAGAAGGCTATACATGTGAGGAGAGAAAATTGATCCATATCTCTATCTATATTTATACTGGCCTATATGCATAAATAAATA